CGCGAGCGAGCGGAGGAGCGGACGGCTTCGCGCTGGGGGGGCGAGCGCCTGGGGAGCGAGCGAAGGGACGCCTGTGCGCTCGGGGCGGATGCCTGAGCCAGCGGGCGGGCGGGTGACTTCATGCGCGAGGCCGCGAGGCCGCGCGCGGCCTCTTGCCGGGCGTCGCGTGCCTGGCAGAGGAACGAACGGATGCCTTTGTGCCGGGGCAGGCGAGCGGAGGGCTTCCTGTTTGTGGGGCTCGTGCTGGGCGAACCAGGGACCCGGTGGGGGACAAGCGCCCGAGCGAGTGAACGAGGGATCGACCTCGTGCTGGGGGGAGTCGGAGGGAGCGAGCCGCTTAACGACTTCATGCCGGGGGACGAGTGCGTGAGCGAGGAAGCAAATGAGTGACTCCATGCGGGGTGGCAGGCGCGCGAGGAGGCGAAAGAACGAGCGGCTTGGCCGGGCTCCGCGGCTCCGCCTGTCATCCCAGCACTGTGGGAAGCGAGGTGAGCGGATCGCTTGAGTCCACGGGTGCGAGACCAGCCCGGGCAACTTGGCCAGACCTCGTTTCTACAATACATCCAAAAAAAATTAGTTGGGCTCGGTGGCGCGTGCCTGTCGTTCCGGCACCTCGGAGGCTGAGGCGGAAGGATCACTGGGGCCCCGCAGGTCGAGGCTGCGGTGGCCGGGAGCGTGCCACTGCACTCCAGTCTGGGTGACAGAGTGAGACTCCAACTCAAAAAAAAAAAAAAAGAACAAGTGACTTAGTGCTGGGAGGCAAGTGCCTGAGTGAATGAACAAAGAAATGGCTTTATGCTAGTTGGGGGCTAGCGCATGAGGGAGTAGAAGGAATGAGTGACCTGAATGAATGAATGAGTGCCTAAGTGGGCGAATGAGTTTATGACGGGGGACGAGGGCCTGGGCAAGTGAATGAGTGAATGACTTCGTGGTGGGCGGCAGGTGAATGAGCGAATGACTCCATGCTGGGGTGCGGGTGCTTGGGTGAGTGGATGAGCGCATGATCTCGTGGGGAAGGGCCAAGTTCGTGAGCCGGCACATGAGCGAGTGACCTCATGCTGGCTGCTCTGCAGGTGACACCGCAGCACTGCGCAGAGTGGCAGGATGAACCGGGCCAAGCCCGCTGCCGTCCGGAGGCCCAGCGCCACCGCCAAGCCGTCAGGTGCGTCCTTCTCCCCACCTGAGGCCTGGGAAGAGCTCGGCTGGAGCGCCTGAGTCCGCTTAGGTGTTGGGTCTAGCAAAACTGCCCTCCAGCCTGGGCAACACAGTGATACCCTACCTCTACAAAAAAATGAATAAAGTAGCTGGATATGGTAGTGCACCCCTGTAGTCCTAGCTACTTGGGAGCCTGAGGCAGGAGGATCGCCTGAGCCCAGGAGTTCAAGGCTGCGGTGGGCTATGATCACAACACTGTACTCTGGGCTGGGTGACACAGTGAGACCCTGTCTCTAAAAATAAAACTGTGCTCGTCCTGCGTGGCTCTGGGAATCCCTGGGAGAGCTGTGGCCGTGGCAACTTCCTCCCGGACACTGACTGTCTCATCGAACTGAATCCAAGGTAGCAGACAGTAATGGAAGGGTCTCCCATGCCGGGAGGAGGGGCAGTACCATGTGGTGGTTAAAAGTACAAAATCTGGAGCCAGACCGCCAGGTGCAGATCCCAGCTTTGCCACTTGCCTGCTCTGTATCATTGGGCATATCACCTGACTTCTCTATGTCCCTGCCTCACGTGTAAAGTGAGCATATTGTACAGTTCAGCAGGCCGTTGAGGACTGAGCAAGCAAATAGGTGTGGGGTAGAGGTGCCTAGTTTGGAGTAAGCGCTCTGTAGCTGCTGCCGTCCTATCCCACAGCCCCGGTCTGCTGTTGCCATGCTGCATGACTGACTCAGGCTTGTGTCCTGTCTCCTGTGAGCCTCATTGACGCCCCGCTTAGGTGGAGGAGAGTGGAGTGAGTCCTCCTCCACCTTGGGTTGCAGACGTCCTCATTCTGTCTCTCTTCTCCGCAGGGCACCCCCCGCCAGGGGACTTCATTGCTCTGGGCTCCAAGGGTCAGGCCAATGAGTCGAAAGCAGCGTCCACCCTGCTGAAGCCAGCCCCTTCGGGCCTGCCTTCCGAGCGCAAGCGGGATGCTACAGCTGCCCTGTCGGGTGCCTCAGCCCTGACCGGCCTCACCAAGCGCCCCAAGCTCTCCTCTACGCCTCCGCTGAGTGCCCTGGGGCGCCTGGCCGAGGCTGCGGTGGCAGAAAAACGAGCCATTTCTCCTTCAATTAAGGAGCCGTCTGTGGTGCCAATCGAAGGTAAAGGCAGTCCGTGGACTTCCCTAGAGCATATGCCTCACAGCACGCCAGTCCCCCAGGCATCTGTAAGGGCCACCTGCAGGCCCGGTACCGTCTGCCTGTGGGGGTTCTTCAAGAGAAGAGCTGTCTGGTCTTATTCTCTCACACGCTTCTGAGGCCTGGACGGCCAGGGCTGTTGAGAACTGGCTTGTCCCCTGTTCAGTTGTTCGTCAGACATGTCTGTTGGGCACCCCTTCTGATAGGCACTGTTCTGAGCCCTGGGCATGAGCCATGTAGTCACTGTTGTGTTGGGGGACGTGTGCTTTGCCCCTCGGGGCCACTGTTGTGTCGGGACGTCTACCCTGCCCCTTCAGGGCCACCGTCGTACTGGGGAACATCTGCTCTGCCCCTCGGGGCTGCTGTTGTGTCAGGGGACATCTGTTCTGCTCTCTCGGGGCCGCTGCTGAGCCCCTTGTGTAGGCAGCTATCTGGAGAAGATGGAGCGCGGCCACGACAGGCCGGTCCTGACCTCGCGTGCTGGGTACCCTGTGGCTGGAGGGACCCCTGCCGTGGGCCCTGCCCTAACCGGACTCCCCTCCGGCCAGTGCTGCCCACGGTGCTGCTGGATGAGATCGAGGCTGCTGAGCTGGAAGGCAACGATGACAGGATCGAGGGTGTGCTGTGTGGAGCCGTGAAGCAGCTGAAGGTCACACGTGCCAAGCCCGACAGCACGCTGTACCTGAGCCTCATGTACCTGGCCAAGATCAAGCCCAACATTTTCGCCACCGAGGGCGTCATCGAGGTAGGGGCTGGCTGTCCTCCACGTGGCAGGCATGGGGCCTCACTGTCTCCTCCTAGGTGATGCCTCTCGCCATGTGCCCTCTTAGGCCCTGTGCAGCCTCCTGCGGCGGGATGCCTCCGTCAATTTCAAGGCCAAAGGGAACAGTCTGGTGTCTGTGCTGGCCTGTAACCTCCTCATGGCTGCGTATGAGGAGGATGAGAACTGGCCCGAGATTTTTGTCAAGGTGAGTCACCTGCCCCAGGCCCCTCAGGTGGTAAAGAGCAGAATGCCAGAGGGAGGGGGCCTACCAGAGACCCCAGCGGGAAAAAGAGGCGGACCAGGCATGCTCTCTCAGGAGGGTGTCATCTGTGTGTCTCCTGCACTGAGAAGTAGGTGGGGGCCCCCATCCCCCATCCCTCCCCTGGGCAGCTGATGGGCTTTCGGGGACGGCACTGCCTGGCCAGGCCTGAGGGTGTGGCTTACATGCAGGTGTACATCGAGGACTCCCTGGGGGAGCGCATCTGGGTGGACAGCCCCCACTGCAAGACGTTTGTGGACAATGTCCAGACAGCATTCAACACCAAAATGCCCCCCAAGAGCATGCTGCTGCAGGGGGAGGCAGGGCGCGGCGGTGGGGACCTCGGTGCTGGTGAGAGCTGCGCGGGCTGGCTGGGCGAGGCTGGGGTGTCTGGCCCAGGGGAGAGCTGGAGTTTCTTCCTCCATGGCGTCTGGGTCTGGGGGCAGGTGCTGGTGGGAGGTCTGGGTCAGGTGCTCCATGGGGCCGTGTCCGGGTCTGCGCAGGAAGCAGCCCCCACCCATCCCTCACGGAGGAGGAGGACAGCCAGACGGAGCTGCTGATCGCGGAGGAGAAGCTGAGCCCCGAGCAGGAGGGCCAGCTCATGCCCAGGTAGGTGTGCCACACGGCCCGGGTCCCAATCTGAGGCTGGGCGGTGGGCGGGGTGGGCGCCTTGGGGACAGCCTTTTTTCCTTCCTGCCTTCACCCCTCTGGCCTAGGTACGATGACCTCGCAGAGAGCGTGGAGGAGTATGTCCTGGACATGCTGCGGGACCAGCTCAACCGGCGCCAGCCCATCGACAACGTCTCCAGGAACCTCCTGCGGCTGCTCACCTCCACCTGCGGCTACAAGGAGGTGCGGCTGATGGCGGTGCAGAAACTGGAGATGTGGCTGCAGAACCCCAAGGTGGGTGTGGAGGCACGCCGGGGCCGCGGGGTGGCCTTCCTGTGGGAACGCGGCCGTGACCTCGATGGCTTCTCCTCGACCTTCCTGCAGCTGACGCGGCCGGCCCAAGACCTGCTGATGTCCGTGTGCATGAACTGCAACACGCATGGCTCCGAGGACATGGATGTCATCTCTCACCTGATCAAGATCCGCCTGAAGCCCAAGGTCCTTCTCAACCACTACATGCTTTGCGTCAGGTAAGCTGAGGCAGGAGAGGCGGTGGCAAGGTGGCAGTCCACTTGCAGCCCGCCCCACATGCTCGGCTCTGCATGTAGGGAGCTGCTGAACGCACACAAGGACAATCTGGGCACCACCATCAAGTTTGTGATCTTCAACGAGCTTTCCAATGCACGAAACCCCAACAACATGCAGATCCTCTACACCGTGCTGCAGCATAGCGCTGAGCTGGCACCCAAGGTAGGCGCCAGGTGCCCAGTGGGGCCGTGCGATAGGGAAACCCTGGTGCTCTGAGTGCAGCAGGGCTATAGGATCGGGCAGCCCCAGCCTGACTCTCCTCCTGTCCCACTGGACTGGGGCTCCAGGCTGGAGGGGGTGCCAGTGCCAGGCGACATCTGTTGTTGAGCGTTTGCTGGAGTGGATGGTTTATGGTGCATGTGGAGAGGGCTCCAGGGCTCTAGAGCAGCTGGGGCTTCCAAAATGCCCCTGGGATTGCCTTTAGCCACTCCCAGAGTGGCTGTGGCCACAGTGTGTGACGTCTTTCTTGAAGACAAAGTATTTGGAAGGGAAGAGCCCTGAGTCTTGGAAGGCCACCCAGGTTTCCAAGCTCAGCACTGGCTCCAGGCCCTGGCTGTGACAGGACTTAGGACTCCTGGGAGGGAGGACCTGGGAAGGCACCCCATCGCTACAGCATGGCAGGCTGTGAACAGGCTTAGCTGGGTGTGAGACACTCAGAGGCTCGGGGCTGGGTCCCGTGGTCTGTTCTCCACTATCCTTGCAGCCCAGCATTTGAAGGAAGGTGCCAGGTCCTGGGAGGGCCCAGGTTGAGACCTTTGGTTCCTGCTGTTTGATCTGGAGTGGGTGGGTGGATGGTGTGGTCATATCGACAGATCTGCGCCTGGTGTTCAGCACCCCCAGCATCTGTTAATCTGTCCCCTCCTTTAACGAGGACTGGCTCCCATGTGCCAGTTGCCAAGAGGTAAAAAAAATATAGTCGCCGTGCCCCAGGGGCTCGTAGCCAGTGAGCCAGCAACAGCTGCCCTGTCATCTCAGAGTGAGCCTGAGTGTTTCAGGACCGCAGGCAGGTGCATCCTCTTGTGGGGCACAGGTGAGGAGGGTGGGTGCTGCTGGGGAGGGTGTCCCCTGGGAGGCTGCTGTCCGGCAGCTCCCCCCGTGGCCTTTTTTTGCCCCAGTTCCTGGCCATGGTGTTCCAGGACCTGCTGACCAACAAGGACGATTACCTCCGGGCCTCACGGGCCTTGCTCCGGGAGATCATCAAGCAGACCAAGCATGAGATCAACTTCCAGGCTTTCTGCCTTGGACTCATGCAGGAGCGCAAGGAGCCCCAGTACCTGGACATGGAGTTCAAGGTACCTCGGTTGCTCTGTCCAGCAGACGGGCTTTGTGCCTTTCCCTTGCCCTGTTCCACCCTTGACTGTTCCCTTGTGGTGGGTCTACCCACACACCCTCCCCTGCTAGGTTCTCTGACCCAGTTGTGGGCACAGGGCTGAGTGAGAGCCACTTGCCACAGCCCTCGAATCCCTCGAGCACCAGCGAGGGCTGGCTCAGCACAGGAGCCGTCTGGCTTTGAGAGTGCAGGAGGCATCCAAGGGTGCCGATGCTGAAAGGAGAACTTGGGGTGAAGGAGCCTGCCTTTCAGGAGGAGGCTGTGTCAAGCTCTGTTGGCTGAACCCCCCTCCAGTGACCTGGCCAGTACCTTGCTCCCCACAGCTTCCTGCCAGTCCTCTCCTGGCTCCCTCTCTGGGTCCGTTCGTGTGTGTGTGCGTGCATGTGTGTGTGTGTGCACGTGTGTAGTGTAGGGCTCTCCAGGGCAGGCCCTTCTAGAATGCAAACCCTTCCACGCTATGCCTGCAGGAGCGGTTTGTGGTCCACATAACAGATGTGCTGGCTGTGTCCATGATGCTGGGCATCACGGCTCAGGTGAAGGAGGCCGGCGTCGCCTGGGACAAGGGAGAAAAGAGGAGTAAGGATAGCGGCCGGGTTCCGCCCTTCTCAAGCAGGGTCTGGGCTGGCGCTTTGGGGCTGCCGGCTGTGGCTGGGAGGGTGGGCCCACAGCACGGCCACTCAAGGCGACTTGGGGGCTCCTGGACACTGCCCTCCCTGTTTCTGGCCATCTGGACTAACACTGGCTCCCCGATCAGGGCCACGTTCTCTGTGTGTCATTTGTTCTGGCGCCTGCCATGGGGCTGTTCTGGGCCTGGCGGCCTTTCAGCAGGGCAGGAAGGCGAAGAAGGGAGGTGGTGGGAGTCAGCCCGGTGTGTGCTGTCATCGGTCCTGCGGAAGGTTTGGCCACAGGGACTTGAAGCGGTTGGCTAAGTGAGGTCATTCAGGATGTGAGGGTTCCAGGGACGCGCATTAGGATTACTGGGTTCTCCTTGGGTGTCATTCCAGCCAGCCGGCTTCCACCTCCAGATCCATAGAAGGTCCGGAAGCTGGGACGGCCTGAGCCACTGCCTTGTAATGTCCAGCCAACCCCCTAGTGCCGGCCTTGACCTAGTCTCTCACAACCCCTCTCACGGTCAGATCCCTGAACCTGCATGTCCATTTCAGACCTGGAGGTGCTACGCTCGTTCCAGAACCAGATCGCTGCCATCCAGCGAGATGCCGTCTGGTGGCTGCACACCGTCGTCCCTTCCATCAGCAAACTCTCCCCCAAGGACTACGTGCACTGGTGCGTCCGGCCATGTGCAGCCCCTGCCCTGGGCCCTCTGTCCTGCTGTCTCAGGCCAAGCAAGGGCTCCCAGACTCAGGCGTGTCCCCTTCATGTAGACAGCAGCAACCCTCACACTCAGGACGTGCTGTCTGAGTGCTTGGGACCTCCCGTGGTGCCTCTGCCTCTGGGAGCTGGGCCTGTCTGGCCGGGAGCTGCAATTCTCGGGCAGTGGTTTGTAAACATTGCACAGTTGGCGTCCAGTCCCACCAGCCCTGTGCGGGTCCTTAAGGTCCTTGGCAGGTGCCGTGGGCTGCACGCAGCAGAGGAGCTGGCAGCCCTGCTTCTGTAGCAGCAGCTGTGACCCAGTTGGGCCTGTGGGAGGTGGCGCCCTTTCCTGGGACAGACGGGGGGTGTGGTCCCTGAACACCCACCTCCTGATAATGGTTCTCTCTGCCCCCAGCCTCCACAAAGTGCTGTTCACAGAGCAGCCTGAGACCTACTACAAGTGGGACAACTGGCCGCCTGAGAGTGACCGCAAGTGAGGAGTCTGCGGGGCGGGGGCCGGGATGGGGGTGGGCAAGGGGCTGCCTCCTGCAGTTAGAGCCAGATGCAGTCTGGGCCCCCATTCTCACGAGTCAGCATCCCGTCCCCCCAGCCCTGGCTGCGGTGTTCCTCTTGTCCTGGTGTCTGTCAAGCCATTCCATTCCTAGGAATCTGGCTACCACCTTGTCCACATGACGCCAATGCCAGCCCCGCCTTTCCCCAAACCTCTGCCTCCTCTGCTCTTCTGGGACATCCATGGGTCCCTCGCCCTCCATGCAGCCCCCATTGCCCCGGCCATCCCTCATCGCTTCCACACAGCCGTGCATGCGGGCCTCTCTCACATGGTTGATGTCACATGGTTTCTGTCTCCCTCAAGCCGGTGGTTACCCCACATGCTCTCGAAGCATGCTTCCGTCCCTGCCTGGGGCTCCTGCTGCCCAGCCAGCATGCCGGTCCATCTCCAGTGTGCCTGCTCAGCACCCCCTACCTACCTTCCCTGTGGCACTGCTCAGTTAGGTTTGGGGGGCCATGTGGGTCTGTCTCTGCTCACCTGGTTCCGAGCTCCCTGAGGGCAAGAGCTGTCCTGACATCCTTTGTGGGATGGCGGAACCTCACCCACAATGCTGGTTAGGGACGTGGCACACACGTAGCCACCAGGGCCACAGGAGAGGGTGAGTGGCTTTCCGTTCTCTCGCTGCCCAGGCAAGACCTGGAGCTGGGGCTTCTGTCCTGCAGAGGGATGAGCTCTTGGGGTGGACAGCCCCTCCCCACTGGCCCATGGCACTTTGCTGCAGAAGGCTGACCCATCCCCAGCCTTGCTTGGGTCCTGGCGGGTGGGGTTGGTCCCCATGTTAAGTTTCCTTCCTACTCCCCCACCCCCCACAGCTTCTTTCTGCGTCTGTGCTCGGAGGTGCCCATCCTGGAAGATACCCTGATGCGCATCCTGGTCATTGGACTGTCCCGTGAGCTTCCACTGGGCCCCGCAGATGCCATGGAGCTTGCTGACCACCTGGTGAAGCGAGCAGCAGCTGTGCAGGCAGATGGTAGGGTCCCTGAGTGCTTAGCTCGGACTGTGTCCTGGCCCCCTAGGTGACCAAGCCTACTGACTCCACTCCCCAAGCCCTGCAGAGGCCATCTGGGTGCCAGCACTCACCCAGGACAGGCAGCAGGTGTCGGCTGGGCTTCTGCCCCTCTGCTCAAGTGAATGGATCATTTTGTGGGAGGCTCAGGAACCTAGAACTGAATTTGGGTGTGCGTATGTGTCTTTGGTGACACTTAAGTCATATTTCTGGAGTTTCTCAGTGTGATCAAACCAGGCCGGGGCTTCTGTCTCCTCCTCAAATCCAGCCCTCCCACCACCCGTGGGCCAGGCCCTGGAACCTGCAGCATGGCAGCAAGGCTTGCTGCTCCTGCCCTGGGCTCTGCCCACATTGTGACCCTGTGTGACCATGCCCTGCATTCAGCCCTCTGCTGTCCCTTGGCTCTCCTGCTTACTCTCCAGGACCTGGCTTAGAGGCTCCCAGGAGACACTGCCCCGGTTTCCCAGCAAGAGGACTGGTGCTTCTCCCATGCTGTCCCGTGTCCTTTCGGGCACAGCTCGGGGGTCCCCTCCCCATCCTTGTGCTACCCAGGCAGGGCCAGCTTCATGCTGTTGCTGCTCCTGGCAGTCCACCGAGTGTGTAGGCTGGACTCTGACTGTGTGGGCTCGGCTTGCAGATGTGGAGGTGCTGAAGGTGGAGCGCATCCAGCTGATCGACGCTGTCCTGAACCTGTGCACCTACCACCACCCCGAGAACATCCAGCTCCCGCCCGGGTGAGGCCTGAACCTGCTCCTCCCCGGCCCCATCCCAGCTTCCTGTGCCCTGTGCCCTGTGAGGCTAAACCAGAGCACATGGCCTGGCCTCTGTCCTCACTGTTATCTGGGTTTCCAGAGCTTGTCCCCTGCTCTTCTGCTGTGGTGTCTCCAACGCACTCGTACTTTCTCGCTGCACTTGCTGACATGCGTGTGCTGTGTTTTTGCACAGCTGTGAGTTGTGCTCTGTTTGTAAGCGCGCCATTGAGCTGTAACACACACACTCTGCCTGCTCACCGGGCAGTGTTTCCTAGCTCACTCACAGGTCGTACAGTCCTCACTGTGATTCGGGAACGTCTTGTCCACCTCAGCGAGACTCATTCACCCTCGCCATCGCTCCCTGTTCCTCCCACTCCCCTCCTCCTCCCGCCATCAGCAGCCTCTAGGCCATCCTCTGAGATTCGCCCTTCTGGACGATTTATATAGATGGGATCTTCTTTTGCTGAGCATAGCGTTTCCCGGGGCTGCCTGTGCCACAGCACATGGTGACGCTGGAAAAACATTCTGTGTGTGGCTAGACCACGTCTGTGTCCACTCACCAGCAGACAGATGCTAGTGCTATCTCTGCTGTGGCTGATGTGAGGCATGGTGACATGCGTGTGCAGTGTCTCAGACCTGGCACTTCAGTCTCCCTAGGTATGATCTTTCGTCCTCTGAAAGGCCTGGACTTTGGTTATGATCTTGTCATAGGTGGTTTTAAAATATATTGCAGTTCCTCGTTAACGAACACTAGGGTTTTTAGTTTTCTGTTATAAAAAGTAAGAATGACTAACATTTATTGAGCATTTATTACTTTACCACTGTTCCCGTTTTGAGATGGGAAACTGAAGCTTAGGAATTGCCCAGGGCTCCAAGCTGCTGAGACAGAGCTGGCGTCTAGGCCTGGACTGTAGTCTGGAGTTGGGCTCTGAGCAGAGCAGTGTTATGCGTGCTTAGACAGATATCACTGGGGGACAGTCCCAGGGGGCTACAGAGGGCTTCGGCGGTACCACTGTTGACATCACAGGCATCTCGGCAGCTGCCGCCTAGCCCAACAAGCTGGCTCCTTCCAGGTACCAGCCTCCCAACCTGGCCATCTCCACCCTCTACTGGAAGGCGTGGCCTCTGCTGCTGGTCGTTGCTGCCTTCAACCCTGAGAACATCGGTGAGCCTTCCCTAGCCAGCTGTGGGCATGGGAGGGCCTCTCTGGGACAGACGTGTTGGGAGCGGGTGGGTGTGTATCTGGGGAGCCACAGCGCCTGCTCTTCTTGCTCCCTAGGCCTGGCTGCCTGGGAGGAGTACCCGACCCTGAAGATGCTCATGGAGATGGTGATGACCAAGTGTGTCCCTGACCTCCGTGGTGGGCTGGGTGGGGCGGGGGTGGGAGGAGCGGGGCCTGGTCTCTGTCGGAGGGCGGAGCAGGGTGGGAGCCGCCTCCTGGCTCAGTCTGAACCCACCGTCTCTGCGGCTGAACGGTGTTCCTGGTTCTGTTCCCTTCTGGACTTGAAGTCCTGATCTGAGTGTTGCCTTTGGTCTCCTCCCTCTCCTTTGCCGAGGCTGGGGCTGTGGACCAAAGTGGCGATGGGGGCGCCAGTGGGAAGGTCCTCGGGCCCCGCCCCGCCCTTCCCGGGCAGCACTTGGGCCTCGCCTGGATTGGGGATGGGGCAGGCTGGGGGATAGTGTTAACACTGGAGGGATGGACAGGATGGCGCCGAGGGGCCAGGTGGACCGGGTGGGTTTTCAGGACCAAATGTGATCCCATGTGGAATCAGCAGAGGCGAGCTGCACAGGACCATTCAGGGCAGGAGGGATGTGGCATGGCACAGCCTGGCCAGGAGAAGCCGAGGGCTGTTGTGACCCCAGTTCGCCTAGACCTGGGCCTGGCAGCACTGGTGCCCCGATGAGGCGAGGACCTGAGCGTCTCCAGGGCCAGTCAGGGTCTGTCCCGTGAGGGCACCATGTGGAGGACAGTGGCCGAGGTGGGGTGGACCCGAGACTGATAGCATGGGGACCAGGCGTGTGTGTGGCCGTGGCGTTGTGGGGACCGGGCCTGTGTGTGGTACCACATTGTGGGACTCAGATGTGTGTGTGTGGTGGTGTGGGGATCAGGTATGTATGTGGCCGCGAGGTTTTGAGGACCAGGGGTGTGTGGCTCTGGCGTGGGAACCAGATGCACGCGTGGCCTGAGACCAGGAGATATGGCTGTCATGACAAGGGTGCAGGCCGACTTTGTGAGACTTTAGGGACAGAGCCCAGGTGAGGGGCACCAAAGGAAGCCAAGGTTTGGAACGTGTGAAAGGAGATGAACTGTGAGCACCTCCCGGCAAGCCATGCGTACCTCTGGGAGCAGCAGACCCCTGGTGGGTGGAGGTCTGCCGGGTCTGTTATGGTCAACAGGGCCCCAGTACGGCATGGGGCAGGAGAGGATGCATGAAGCGTCCTGGAAAGAGCTCTGAAGGTGTCTGGGGCCACACAGTGGCCCTTTTCCTGATAGTACACCTGTGTGCCAGGCCGGGTTCTGAGTCTTGACTCCGGGGCCTTGAGGTGGTCTGAGGGAAGCAAGCCTCTGATGAGGGGGTTCACAGCTCCCCCGTCTTGCCCCAGTAACTACTCCTACCCACCGTGCACCCTGACGGATGAGGAGACCCGCACGGAGATGATCAACCGTGAGCTACAGATCTCCCAGCGGGAGAAGCAGGAGATCCTGGCCTTCGAGGGCCACCTGGCCGCCGCCTCCACCAAGCAGACCATCACAGAGAGCAGCAGCCTCCTCCTGTCTCAACTCACCAGCTTGGACCCCCAGTATGTAGCCAAGGCCTGCGGCAGCACTGAGTCCAACCAGGCAGATGGTTGACATGCGTGGGGTGGAGACCATGGCAGACCCTCAAATGCCCCTGGGGCCCAGTCCACGTCACAGGCTTAGTTGGGCCCAGCCAAGACCTGGACATGTCATTCTCATGGGCTGTCGGCCCCTCAGAAGCACGGCTGGGGGGAAGGTGCGCAGTGGCTTTCCCTCCTTACTGTCACCCTGGGGGTTTCTGACACTCCCGTGTCCTCCTTGACCCTCAGAGGGCCCCCCCGGAGGCCTCCTCCTCATATCCTGGAACAAGTGAAAGGCCTCAACCAGTCCCTTCGCCTCGGGCACTTGCTGTGTCGGAGCCGCAATCCAGACTTTCTTCTCAACATCATCCAGAGGCAGGTGAGCTCTGAGGCTTGGAGAGGACTGAGATCTGGGGTGTGGCCTGGAGCGTTCTGGGGGCTTCGATGGGCTCTGGTTCGGTGGCCTCGTTGCGGCCAGAAGAGGGCAGAGCACCCTGACATAGATGCACAGTGAGCTGCTCCCGCGTGCGGGCCACCGGTTCTGCCAGCCTCCTGCTGTGAGTGGGGGCTCCCTGGAGTCGGGCTGGCGGCAGAAGGCGTGGGGCCGGGGAAGCGCTGAACACAGACTCCTGCTGTTGCCTGCCAGGCCTCCTCGCAGTCCATGCCCTGGCTGGCAGACCTGGTGCAGTCTAGCGAGGGCTCCCTGGACGTGCTGCCTGTGCAGTGCCTGTGCGAATTCCTGCTTCACGATGCTGCCGACGACACTACCTCTGGAGAAGAGGAGGACGAGGGAGAGAGCAGAGAACAGAAGGCCAAGAAGCGGCAGGTCAGTGTCTGCCTGGCCACAGCCTCCTGCCCCCTGCTGGCAGCCCCTCCCCTGAGCGCCCCTGTCCCTGCAGAGACAACAGAAGCAGCGGCAGCTTCTGGGACGCCTGCAGGACCTGCTGCTGGGCCCGAAGGCTGATGAGCAGACCACGTGCGAGGTGCTGGACTACTTCCTGCGGCGCCTGGGCTCCTCCCAGGTGGCCTCTAGGGTGCTGGCCATGAAGGTGAGGGCTGGCTTGCTGCTTTATGTCCAAAAGGAGCACTGCACTCTCCTAGACTCTTCCTAACTTCAATACAAGAAAGGTGGCCCTAGCACGAAGAACCAGAAGCTGTTGCTGCTTGTCAGGCATTCCTCCCCTGGCAGTGACATGGAGCGTTTCTGGTGGCCAAATGAATTAGTTCGTGTGGGCCCTGCAGGTGCTAACCAGGAGCTTTCTGAAGAAGGGGCCTCGTGCCGCTTGAGACACTGCAGCCTCTACTCAGGCTTTGGGGGCACATTCTGCCCTGAGGTCGGGGAGTGACCCCACCATGATGCTGATGGCTCCCCTGTGCTGCAGGGTTTGTCGCTGGTGCTCTCCGAGGGCAGTCTGCGGGATGGGGAGGAGAAGGAACACCCCATGGAGGACGATGCTGTGGACACAGATGGGCTGCAGGGCTACCAGTGGCTGCTGCGAGACCTGCCCCGGCTGCCCCTGTTTGACAGTGTCCGGAGCACCACAGCCCTGGCTCTGCAGCAGGTGAGGGGGACATTCCCGGGGCACCGGGAGCAATGAGGTGGTGGGGATGTGGTGGCGGTGGCAGCCCTGCCCCGAGGAGCCGCCAGACAGCCCTCACCCTCCCCAGGCGATCCACATGGAGACCGACCCGCAGACCATCAGCGCCTACCTGGTCTACCTGTCCCAGCACACACCCGTGGAGGAGCAGGGCCAGCACGGCGACCTGGCCCTGGTGAGAGGGGACAAGGCCAGCACAGTGACCTGGCCCTGGGGGGGTGGGACAAGGCCAGCATGGCGCCCTGGACCTGGGCTGGAGGCTCCGTGACTACGGGGGTCAAGGTGGTCACCGCCAGCTGCATCCCTCCCTTCGTCACTGGGACTCCTCGGAGCATTTCTCCCAGGCCATGAGAGTGTGGAGCCACCAGGGTGAGGGTGCCTTGGTCCTGGGAGGAGGGAGTCAGCTCTTAGTCACCTCCCTTCAGAGTTTGGGATGCAGGCTCAGGTTTCCAGGCCCCCCGTGTGCCATCCTTAGCCTCTCATTCTCTTTGCTGGGCTGTGGAGTTCCTGGCTTCCCCACTCACCAGTGCCATCCCCTTCTGGTGGCTTCCTCCTGACCCCTTCCCCACGAGCCTGTTCTCAGCTGTGTTCTCAAGTTTGAGGCCTTTATGGAATTAGGGGTGAATACTGCTCACAGGGAAGGGGGCCTCTGGAAGCCCAGGCTCCCTGCTGGGACAGAGGAAAACCCCACACGCCTGTCCATGAGGCCTCTGTTTCACGCACAGCCTGGTGGTGCAGCCAGGCTCCTGGTGTTGTTGGTGCAAATGTGTAAATACCCTGTCTGGGTGGCACACACCGGCCTTCTCCTTTTGGTCTGTTGCCAGCAGTATGGTATGCGTGTCCCCATTTCCTCCCTCCTCTCCGCACTGTGGCAGGTAGCAGACAGGGACGTCTGCTCAGGGCCTGGTTGCTACCCTTTGCTGGAGAGCCCTGTGTGCTCCCCAGAGCCTGCTCAGGCCCTTGTGCCCTTCACAGTGGTGTGGCTGAGGGAGGGGCTGTGGCTCTGCGGGGCCCCACCTTCCTGCCGGCTTCAGCTCACACACTGCCAGCGACAGTCACAGTGCCCCGGCTCATATGGGGCTCGCCGGGCTCCTCTCATAGCCTGCCCACTGCCTCCCCAGGACGTGGCCCGGCTGGTCGTGGAGCGTTCCACCATCATGTCCCACCTCTTCTCGAAGCTGTCCTCCAGCGCTGCATCAGATGCTGTGCTGGGCGCGCTGCTGTCCATCTTCTCGCGCTATGTGAGACGCATGCGCCAGAGCAAGGAGGGCGAGGAGGTCTACAGCTGGGTGAGGCTGTGCGCACCGCCCGGCCCTGGCCCTTTGAGTCTGGCCCTCTGAGCCCGGGCCATCATTCCCCCCTTCTCTCCTGCAGTCCGAGTCCCAGGACCAGGTATTCCTGCGCTGGAGCAGTGGGGAGACGGCCACCATGCACATCCTCGTGGTGCATGCCATGGTCATCCTGCTGACGCTGGGCCCACCCCGAGGTGAGCTGCTCCGGGGAAAGCAGCCCTTCAGGTCTGTCCTGCAGGTCCCGGCCTACCGGGCGACATCGCTCCTTCTGCTTTGGGGCAGGAAGCCCGCAAGGTGGGAAGACCTGCCTGGCCATGGCGGGACAGCTCCCTGCCCCGCCTGGCCTTGATTTATTTTCTGGCGACTGGTCGTCCACATGAGGGCCTCTACAACGGCGAGCCCTGAGACAGGGCAGGGCAGCCGGGGGCTCGGATCCCCGCCGACCCCACCCAGACACGGAGTCTGTCCTTGCTCTGGTGGCTCAGCCAGGAGACTTGGGCGTCCTTGGTGCAGAGCCCACACGAGGCTGCCTGACGCTCTGACTTCTTTCCGTGGGGCCCAGGGTTGTGCTCCTGCGGACCTGCTGGCCGGGTGGTGTGTGGAGCTGCCGTGCCTTTTTGGCTGCAGCCTTCCCTGTGTTCCTCCTGCTGACCCTCGGAAGCAGCACCCACTCACCTCGCGGTGTCTGAGTAGAGGGAGGCACAGCACCCTTGCTGGGGCCAGGCAGCGCGTGGGTGGCTGTGCCGGAGCAGCAGCCTGTTGGGGGCAGGTGGAGGTGGTGGCCCCGGGTGTTGGGCCACAGGTGTCTCCTGGCCCCATGCTAGCCAGGACCTGTTGGGTTTCCCGTTGACCTTGTGGAGCCAGAGGGCTGGCGGGAGCTGGTTCAGGCCACACAACCAGGGGCCAGGGCCGTCCCGGAGTACCCGTGAGCCCACTTGGGCAAGTTCTTGACTCGATGGGGCTCCTTTCTCTCAGCTGTCAGAGGATAAAAAGGGAATCTCAGCATTTGGGAGGTTGAGGCAAGAGGATCGCTTGAGGCTAGGCGTTTGAGACCACTCTGGGCAAAATAGTGAAACCCTGTTTCTGTAAAAAAACAAAAAATAAGCCGAGCACTGTGACACCTATAGTCCTGACTACTTGGGAGGCTGAGGCGGGCGGATCCCTTTAGACCAGGAGCTAAAGGCTGCAGTGATATGTGATTGCATCACTGCACTCCAGCCTGGGTGACAGAGCAAGGCCCTGTCTCCTCTTTCAAAAAAACGAGACTGAGGGAATGAATGAATACCTCCTCTCACAAAAGTTGCGAGAACTGAATAATGTGTGCAGAGCACCTGGCACGTAGCCAGGCTCGTCCCAACACCTGAGTCTCCCTTGTACCTCCAAAGCCGCAGCTTCCTCTTGGTGAAAGGACTCGTGTCAGGTGGTCTCTGGGGGCCTCCAGCCTTGGCATGGGCTATTCTTGGGTCCAGGTCCATGGGTGGGGCGTCTAGAAGGCCATTCATCCTGTGGTCCTCCCAAAGCTGGTGACAGCGAGTTCCAGGCGCTGCTGGACATCTGGTTTCCCGAGAAAAAGCCGCTGCCCACTGCCTTCTTGGTGGACACGTCTGAGGAGGCGCTGTTGCTGCCTGACTGGCTGAAGCTGCGCATGATCCGCTCCGAGGTCCCTCGCCTGGTGGACGCTGGTACAGACCTGGACTGGGCTTGGGAGGGGACTGGGGAGTTAGCTGGGCATCCTAGGCCTCATGCCTGCTCCTCGCAGACCTGGGCTCTGGGGCCGGCTGGAGGCAATCCCAGTCACAGCCCATCTCCTGTCGGTCTGGGATCTCTTGGGGCTCACTGAGCACGCGCTGCCGGCAGCCCTGCAGGACCTGGAGCCGCAGCAGCTGCTGTTGTTCGTGCAGTCCTTTGGCATCCCCGTGTCCAGCATGAGTAAGCTCTTGCAGTACCTGGACCAGGCGGTGGCCCACGACCCCCAGACACTGGAGCAGAATATCATGGACAAGAGTGAGGCCCAGGGTGCAATGGGGCGGGCACCTATGGCAGAGGGCCTGGGGAGGCTGGGCCCATGGGCTGGGCTGGGGAGCCGAGGTCAGGTGGGTGTGGATGGTCCCCACGGGCAGGCGATAGAGCAGAGGGTTGGCCCGGCTGGTGCCGTCAGGAGAAAGCCAAGGCCCGGGCCCTCCCAGGCACCTGGTGTTTGGAGGCTGGAGGAGCCTTCGGGCTCTCTGCCCTGCCGAGCCCTTGCCAGAAGTCCCTGTCGCCCAGCTGCTGGCCGTTCCCGGAACCCGGGGCATCCCCAGCTCCAGCTCTGTCGAAGGGGCGGTACTAGCTCTCTGTCCACACCCGGGCATCACCCCGCCTCTGTTTTATAGACTACATGGCCCACCTGGTCGAGGTCCAGCACGAGAGAGGAGCCTCTGGAGGCCAGACGTTCCACTCCCTGCTCACGGCCTCTCTGCCCCCGCGCCGAGGTACCAGCTGCCTCCCTGACGGGTAGCCTACTGTCAGGGATCCAGGCCATGGGGAGTCCTCGGCTGCTCCTCTGGCTGGCGTGCCGCCTGCTCGGAGTCTGGCCCCTTCTCACGCCCAAGCGAGGCCCAGGGTTTTGGGGAGTACGAGTCCTCCAAGGGGCCCAGGCACTGGCTCTTCTTTCTGGGTGACAGCCCTTGGGTAGGACCAGGCTTGACTTGCGCAGACCTCAGCCCCACTGGAAGTGGGCCAGCAGCATTTTTAGCGACTGACAGTCTTCTCTCCCTGCAGAAAGTACAGAGGCACCAAAACCAAAGGGCAGCCCCGAGCACCCTGCAGGCCAGGGCAGGATCCGTGCCGGGACCCAGGTCCGCGTGCTCGGCCCCGAGGATGACTTGGCCGGCATGTTCCTGCAGGTACTGGTGTCACTGTGCATGACCCCACAGCTGTGCCCTCACGTGCATGTCTTTCCTGCCTCCTCACACGCAGCGGCCCTCACACGCATGCCTGCCCAGCAGTGGCACGCTGCTCTCACACGCACAACCTAAACTATAGATAGTCTTGGGGTGCGGTGCACCCTCCCTGCACTTTTCATCTACCCCACATCCTCGCCTGCATCCTGCAGTCAGTGCCCCATCTTACATGTGGGAACCAGGGCTTGCTGGCATTTGCTGGGGGGTTTGCGGGGTCTTGTTGCTGGAGCTGGGCCTCCCCCAAACCCACCTCTCCTCCTTGTAAGAACCTGGGGCGCCTTGGCAGGCGCTGGACAGCTTTATCCTTGGGGCAGCTCCTGGGTGCCGGGGTTCCCCGTGCCCAGCATAAGCCTCAAGGGCCTTGCCCCGCCCAAGCCGTGAGGCGGGGCCACAGATGAACAGGGACCCAACGGGGGACAGCCTTGGCACAGGAGCTGCGTGAGGGCACCTAGCCTTGTCGCTGCTTTCCGACCCTGTTCTCTGTTCCAGATCTTCCCTCTCAGTCCTGATCCACGCTGGCAGAATTCTAGCCCCCGCCCCGTGGCCCTGGCCCTGCAGCAGGCCCTGGGCCAGGAGCTGGCCCGCGTCCTCCAGGGCAACCCCGAGGTTCCAGGCATCACGGTGCGCTTCCTGCAGGCCATCGCCACCCTGTTAGGCTCACCACATGGTGGAGCCCTGGTGATGTCCATGCACCGCAGCCACTTTCTGGCCTGCCCGCTGATGCGCCAGCTCTACCAGTACCAGGTACAAAGGCCGCGAGGCTTCCGGCCCTGCCGGCAGGTGGCGCCCAAGAGGATTGAGGGTGGTGAGGGGCTCTGCCTCTCTGGGGCGGTTTCCCAAGGCTGTACCTCTGTGGGCCTTGGTTCTTTGTCCCTAAATGAAAAGGACACTCCCCCAAGGGCCAGGGGCAGGACCCCACCTTTCCAGCGTGAATCCTCTCCATTGAACAGGGGGAAGGGACAGTGCAGCCGCCTGGGTGTGTCCTGCCCACCCCCAAGTTCCAGGCTCTTGCCACGTCTGCCTCGCCTGCCTGTGCTTGTGTGTGGCGATGCCTCACTTGCTTATGTCTATGTATGTGCAGGAGTTTCTTTGTTCTTCCTGAGCCATGTGGACGTAAGTTGGCAACAGCAGGACCCTTCACCAGCTAGGGCTTTAAGAGGGTCTCTGTGAGGCTGTCCGGGAAGGGCAGGGCAGGCAGTGTCTCAGGTGGCAGGTGGGATAAGGGTGGCCCAGGCCACAGGTGCTGGTCACTGTGGGCCCCACCCCAGCTGCACAGCCCCTGCTCTGGGCCTCGGGTACCAGGTCCTGGTTTCTCCGAGAAGGGCGGGGAAGGTGCCCACGTTCTATGCCGTGTGTGGCCATTGCTGCCCTGGGAGCCCAGCCCATGTGCTGCTGTTGTCTCCATAGCGCTGCGTGCCGCAGGACACCGGCTTCTCCTCGCTCTTCCTCAAAGTGCTCATGCAGATGCTGCAGTGGCTGGATAGCCCCGCCGTGGAGGGCGGGCCCCTCCAGGCCCAGCTCAAGCTGTTTGCCACCCAGTACTCAGCGCGGCGCAGGATCAGCGATGGTGAGGCAGGCGGGGGCCGTCAGCACTGCCGGGAAGCCCAGGCTCTAGACTGGCACTGACAGCAGGGCCGAGTGCCTTGGCATCCAGAGGCCTGGGGAGCGATGTGGGGGCCTTCAGGGAGGGAGGGCCCACATGGGCCCAGGGGAGCCCCTGTGCACGGGCTTCCCTGGACGGGGCACCCCAGGAGGAGTGGAAGCAGATGTAGAGCCCCCAAGGTCACACCGATCTTCTCACAGTGCGCAGTGGGCTCCTGCACCTGGCCGAGGCCCTGGCCTTCCGCCGGGACCTGGAGGTGGTCAGCTCTACCGTCCAGGCCGTCATCGCCACCCTTAGGTCTGGGGAGAGGTGCGGCGTGGAGCCAGAGCTCATTGGCAAAGGTGTGGCTTACCCCGTGCGCACCCCGGCCTGGAGACGGGTCCTCACTGCCTGGCGGGGCACTTGGGCCACTCAGCATTTTCCCTGGGAATCACCCACAGATAACCCTGCCCAGATGTCCCACCGTGGGATCTCTTGAGAATGAGCCGGAGCGACCCCCTCTGGCGAGCCCCGCTTCAGCAAAGAGCCCCGTGTGCCTGGCTGTGCCCCTGGCCGGGCTGCGCTGTTGGGTCCCACACATCACCCCACACCCAGCCTTGCGAGCCCAGTCCCGTGCAGCAGGCTCCTTGGCCAGGAAGTGACGCCGGCTGTCCCTCTGTCCCTTGCATAGTCCTCCGGGGGCTGAGAGAGGTGAGGTCCCCCCATCTGGAGGAGCTGCTGACTGCGCTCTTCTCTGCCCCCGTGGATGCTGCCTCCCAGTCTCCAGCTTCAAAGCCCGTCGTGGTGGTGAGCTCCCTGCTGCTGCAGGAGGAGGAGGAGCCCCCGGCCTCAGGCAGGCAGGGTGCAGATGGCGGAAGGTGAGCTGGGGCGCCGCGGGCAGTCCCGGGGGATCCCTGGGAGGGCCCAGGCGCTCCTTCCCTGAGCCCTTCCCCCTTGCAGCCTGGAGGCCGTGCGGCTGGGGCCTGCGTCAGGGCTCCTTGTGGACTGGCTGGAGATGCTGGACCCCGAGGTGGTGAGCACCTGCCCTGACCTGCAGCAGAGGTTGCTCTTCTCCCGGAGGAAGGTACGGCTGCCCTCAGCTCAGGGGCCTCTTCCCCCCGCCAGAAGTGGTGTGACCCTGGCCTAGACGAGGCCTGCAGCGTCCGCCAGCAGCCCCACCACTCCGACCCGTGGCAGCCCAGGGCGAGGATGAGATCTCTCTGTTGGCTCCAGCAGAGTCCAGTCCTGGGTCACCCGTGTCGTGGGCCAGCACTGTGCCTGTCCAGATTTGGCTCCAGGCCAGGCAAGCCCTGTGGCCCGAGCATAGGCCCTGTCTTCCCAAAGGAAGCGGGCTGTGGTCAGCAGAAGGCAGGGCAGGTGCAGGACTCCCTGGGCAGTCCTCAGAGGGAGGGACAGGGTCTTGGGGGTGGGAGGTGGGGTGCCCGGACGGAGCCCGGGGCCACCTCTGCCCTGCAGGGAAGAGGTGAGAAGGCATTGTACAGCCACCAGTAGGAACCCTCAGTGGCGTGGGCCCAGTTCAGGCTCCTTCTGAGAAAGGCTGCCTAGTCTTGCTGGAAGCGCGCCCTGCGCCCCTGCCTTCCGGGCAGCTCCCGCTCCCTGGGGTGCTGTCAGCGGACCTTTATCAGCTGACCCTATGGCCAGGTGAGCCCAGGTGAGCTCATCCCAACTTCCTTCCCCCCAGGGCAAAGGCCAGGCCCAGGTGCCATCATTCCGCCCCTACCTCCTGGCCCTCTTCACGCACCAGTCCAGCTGGTCCACGCTGCACCAGTGTATCCGTGTCCTGTTGGGCAAGAGCCGGGAGCAGAGGTGGGCACTGCCCCAGGCTGTGTGCCCATTGGGTGCCCCTCGCCTTGCACGGGCACAGTGCGATGCTGTGAGTGTGTCTTCTCTTCTGGTGGCCACACCCATGGGTGCTGCTTGGGGCAGACGTGGAGAACGCCAAGCTCAGGGGCTTGGGCATCTGCCCCTCACCCCACCCTGGTGCTGGAGTCCCCTCAGCCCTTCAGTAGGTGTCCTGGCTTCCTCGGAGCCTGCTGTGGCTCCTCCTGCCCAGAGGTGCCCAGCGGAGCTGGGTTGTGGCAGGGTGCCCAGGCTGACCAAGGCCCTTGCTGTCCCAGTTCCCAGGAAGGTGGCTGGTAGGATCCAGGGGCCCTGGAGGGGCGTTGCCCTCTCAGCGGGACAGGGCCTACGCCCCAGCCCCCTGTGCTGCACTCGCACGCAACGTCTCTGCTCTGGTTAACCCTTGTGAGGGCAGTCACAAGAATGGAACATCCGGTGCTGTGGCCTCTCCATCTGTCTGTGAAGACACCGCGTGGCGGGTGCCGAGGGGGCTGAGATGCCCGAGGCGCACCACTGCAGGCACGGAAGCTCCATCCCGCCGTGGGTGCAGAGTTGGCTGACTTGCCCGTGGACACACAGGAGACAGCGAGCCCAGGGCTGTCTTTAGGAGGGTGTTGGTGGCTTCTCTGCGATGAGGCTCCTCACCGGGGACCGTCTTGTCCGTCCTTCTGATGGGCTTCTCCCCGGGTCTTCTTCCAGGTTCGACCCCTCGGCCTCCCTGGACTTCCTCTGGGCCTGCATCCATGTTCCACGCATCTGGCAGGGCAGGGACCAGCGTACTCCGCAGGCAGGTCTCGGGAGGGTGGCAGCCTGGAGGAGCGGGTGGTGCAGCCCAGGCTGACGCGTCTGGGCTGATGGCGGCACCGGCTTGCAGAAGCGGCGGGAGGAGCTGGTGCTGCGGGTCCAGGCCCCGGAGCTGATCAGCCTGGTGGAGCTGATCCTGGCCGAGGCCGAGGCGCGGAGCCAGGACGGGGACGCGGCCCCCTGCAGCCTCATCCAGGCCCGGCTGCCCCTGCTGCTCAGCTGCTGCCGTGGGGACGACGACAGCATCAGGAGGGTGACGGAGCACCTGGCAGGCTGCGTCCAGCAGCGGGGGGACAGGTGCTTGGGGGCCCGTGTTTCTGGGTGCTGCCCCTCGCGCGGGCCTCACGGGGTCAAGGCCCAGGTCCAGCTCGGGGGGCTCCCGTTGGCATGCATGGCCCTGCCTGCCTGACACCCATTGCCATGGTGGCCCCATCCCTGTCTCCCAGCAAGCCCCACTATCTCCCTTCCAGTGTGCTGGGCAGGCGCTGCCGGGACCTGCTTCTGCAGCTCTACTTGCAGCGGCCGGAGCTCCGGGTGCATGTACCTGAGACCCTGCTGCACAGCGACGGGGCCGGCGGCAGCATCTGCAGGGTAAGGCACAGCTCTAAGTGCTCCGCTGGCCTGAGCGCCGGCGGGCTTGGGGGGGCGGAGGAGAAGGCCATGCAGAGCCCAGCAGGGTACGTTTTGGCAAATGTGTGCACCCGTGGGCCATTACCACAGTCAAGAGGAGGAGTGTCCTTGGAACCTCCTGCTGTCCCTTCCTGGCTCACCACTGCTGCACTGTCACCATAGACTTATTTGCATTTTCTGGAGCTCTACGTCAGCGGACCCAGTGTGTGTCATTTGCTGGGCATCCCTGCACAGCTTTGAGCCCACTGTGTCACACGGTACAGGAGCCATCCGCTCCTTCCCCTTGTGGCCGTGTCCACTGCTGGACAGGTCTTGTTTATCCGTTTGCCATGAGTGGACATTTAGCTGTTTCCAGTTTGGGGCGGTAACGGGCCTGCCGTGAGGGCCGCACACACCCCGAAGGGGAGGCTGGGCTGCCTGTGCTCACTGCGCTCCGCTGTGGCCCAGGGGCCCTCTGCTTGGCATCGGGAAGGAGGGTCACCTCCAACTGTTCCTCCTGGTTGTTGCAGTTACGTGTGGCCTCACACGCTGTCATACTTTATACATGGTTTTCCTTTTTCTCACTCAGTGCATCATTGTGTTTGGTGCCGAGAGCCTTTCTTTATTCTGGGTCAGGCTGACTTCATGCTCGGCCGCGCGAGGGGTGTGCAGGAAGCGCGATCGGCTTGGCCTCCCAGGAAGCTCAGGTGTCAAGAGGGCACTGGTTGCTCTGGTCGCTGAGCAGCACCCAGAGCTCAACAACGGGACCTTAGCCCTGGAGACCCACACACTTCCCGGGGGGCCCTGTCTTGCCCGTCCAAGCTGGCAGCCCATGGTGTGAGAGGCACTTGTGGGGGAGGCGGCAGCCCCAGCCTCAGTGTCCCTTTGCAGCTGGACAGCCTCATCCACCGCTTCATCACCCTTCTTGCGGACACCAGCGACTCCCGGTCGTCTGAGCGAGGGGCGGACGCCAACATGGCTTGCCGGAAGCTGGCTGTGGCCCACCCCCTGCTGCTGCTCAGGTTCGGCCCCTCCGCCTGCGGCTGGGGAGGTTGGGGGTCTCATCTCACGGGAGGGGCCAGGGCAGAGGCTGGGTGGGCCTCGTCCCTCCTGCTCCGGAAGTCCGACCCGCATTCCAGATGTGGAAAGAAAGGTTCTGTGGCTACAAGCTGGCACGATGGCCCCTGGCCTATGGCTGGGCCTGGGAGCAGGGCAGGTCAGACGAGCCTGTCCCCTCACAGACCCAGGGCAGTGGCAGCGAGCTCCGCGGGCAGGTCCTGGGAGGGTGGCAGCCTGGAGGAAGCCTGGGGACACACAGCTGCTGTCCCGGCTCTGGGTCCTCAAAGCGCCTGGACCCGTGGCGCCAGGGGCTTGTGGACAGATTGGCGGGCCCTCGTGGGGGCATGCCCAGGTGACTGTCGCCGCCGTCCCGTCTCAGGCACCTGCCTATGATCGCCGCGCTTCTGCACGGCCGCACCCACCTCAACTTCCAGGAGTTCCGGCAGCAGAACCATCTGACCTTCTTCCTGCACGTGCTGGGGGTGCTGGAGCTGCTGCAGCCGCGGCTGTTCCGCGGCGAACACCAGGGGGCGCTGTGGGACTGCCTGCTCTCCTTCATCCGCCTGCTGCTGGTGGGCGCCCGCGCTGGCCGGCCGGCCTCGAGCAGAGCCTCTGTGGGGCTCCACGCCTCTGTGGCACGCTGCAGGCGGCGTCTGCGGCGAGTCTCCCTCCCTGCACCCAGCCACCCAGCTGCTCCTCCCCGTGCGTCCCCTCCCGACCCGCACCTTCGGATGTCTGCTCCCACGTCGGGCCAGGCCAAGCCCGGCGGAGCTCACGGGGGGCCGAGTCCCTTGGCCAGGGCCAGGGTCAGGGCCAGGCCGCCTCTCTGGCAGCCGCTGTCTCCTCCACCTGCCCCGGGGACTGGCTCTCACCCCGAAGCCCCCATCCCTCCTCCGCGTGCCTGGAGGAACCCTCGTTGCGAGAAGCCCAGATCTCCCAGCTTCAGCCCTCCGCTCGGCCCTCCGCATGTCACGAGTGCCTCGTCGGGCCAGTCGTCCACTTTGTCACATGTCCCCCTTGGGTACCTGCACGTCTGCTGTATCACAGCTCCGTGCAGGGCCAGGGCCACGTCTGGCCACCTTTGGGACCCTCAGCTTATTGCACTGTGGTCAGAGCGTGGCTGTGTGAGAGGGACCCTTTGCCGAGGCTCTGGGGAGCAGAACGGGACTCCTGGGAACTGTTTCCGTGCCCCGGGCGCTGAACATTTTCCCTTACAGAATTACAGGAAGTCCTCCCGCCACCTGGCTCCCTTTATCAACAAATTCGTGCAGTTCATCCACAAGTACATCACCTGCAACGCCCCGGCTGCCGTCTCCTTCCTGCAAAAGCACGCCGACCCACTCCAGTGTGTGCTAGGGGGCTGAGGGTGTTTCCGGGAGGTCTGGGTCTGCAAGCTCCCAAGGTGGGGAGGCAGAGGCCGAGCCGAGGTGCTGAATGCAGTGCCGAGGCTCTGGGTGGTGGATGCCTGCGTCTGTGTCACCTCCCCATAGCTCTGGGGCCCCTTCCCCACACACGTGGCCGTCTGTCCTCCCAAGCGCCCTGGCCTCCCACGCCACCTGGGGCCTCTCCTCATCACCCTGGTTCAGCGCCCCCAGCCCGCCTTCCGCCAGCGTCGTCTCCCCATGCGAAAGTGTCTTCTCTCTCCCCAGTGACCTGTCCTTCGACAACAGCGACCTGGTGATGCTGAAGTCCCTCCTCGCGGGGCTCAGCCTGCCCAGCAGGGACGGCAGGGCCGACCGTGGCCTGGATGAGGAGGGTGAGGGTAAGTAAGCCGCGGGTCAGTCCTGCCAGCCCTCCACCGCCTGAGGCATCCCAGTGGGGGCTTATGAGCCCCCTCGCCGGCCTCCAGTCCTTTCCATGTGAGTGAAGCTCTGACTGATGGCGCCTTCCCTGGCTCTAGTGGGTGAGGCCAGTCCCTGGTTCTTCTCTCACGTCCCCCGTCTCCATCTGTGGGCCTTACCTGTCTGGTGGTGGCCTGGCAGCTGCGGTCAGCAGGTGGTGGACACGAGTGGCCGAGTGACTCGAGCCTGGTCTCACCAACTGTGCTGAGCGCAGCTCTCTGGCTGTCCGTGGTGGTGCAGGGCCACAGGGGGAGCACCCTGCCTTGCAGTGACGGTCCAGGGAGAGGAGAGGACGTCACAAGGAAATGGCAGGGAGAGACTCGGGACACGTGCTGGGCCTCCGAAGGCAGCTCCCCGTGGGCTCCTGGTCGTGACAGCTCCGTTGAGTGCCCGCGGCCTGCCAGGCTCTGTTCTGGGTCCTGGGCAGTGGCCGGGTGCTCTTGGAAGGGCTGGTGCCTGGTGTCCTGACACCCAGCCTCCCGTGGCACCGACTTGTCTTTCAGACGAGAGCTCTGCCGGCTCCTTGCCCCTGGTCAGCGTGTCCCTCTTCACCCCTCTGACCACCGCTGAGATGGCCCCCTACATGAAGAGGCTTTCCCGGGGCCAGACCGTAGAGGGTGAGTTGGGGGCCTGGCGTCGCTCCCACGAAGGCAGCAGGCAGTGGCCCTCCAGCACTGACTTTGGGGCGTCGGGAGTGAGCACAGCCCCATGGGCTGTGGGGGTGCTGTTTCCTCCTTGGGGATGCCTTCTCCCCAGGGAGGGGGTTAGAAGTTCAGAGGCCCAGGGGAGCTGAAGGGAGGCTGGAGGGGGCTGTGATCCAGAGACAGCAGAACACTGGAGAACCCACCAGAGTGTCAGGGGAGCTTCCGGAAGAGGCCTGGGGGGTGGGACTGGGGCAGTCGCGTTTTCCACAGGAGGCAGGGCGGGCGGCTGTGGTGGTGTTGGGCTGTGGGAGCACTTGGTGCTGGGCGCCCTGGGCGTGGATGGGATGGCCATCTGGGGGTCAGTTCCCCTTCACTGGAGACCAGCACATGCTGTCTGGATGGCCACCTGGGGGGGCAGGGATGGGTGTCTGTGAAGTGTGGGAACAGGTGCGGACCTGGGGGGTTACACCTCATAAAGGCCCCCAGATGCCTCATGCCCATTGCGGGTGTCTTTGGTCTTGTGGAGCTGGGAAGCCGGCAGACCTTTCCGGTTCTTTCCATCCTGAGATGCATGGGGATGCGCCCCTCCAGCCCCTGGGCCGCCCGGGTAGGTAAACAGGCCGGCCCTCTGTCCATCAGATCTGTTGGAGGTTCTGAGCGACATAGATGAGATGTCCCGGCGAAGACCCGAGATCCTGGGCTTCTTCTCGGTGAGCAGATGGGCCTGCGAGAGCTGTGGGTGCCGCTCTCTGGAGAAGTCCCAGCAGGGCCCCCTGCCCCTCCCCGCTCCCGCCTGAACCCCAGGTACTCTGGGCTGGACTGTGGGGGGGCCCTGCCCAGGAGCCCACAGTTGAGCAGGTGCCAGGCAGGCTCACCTCAGCCCTGGCGGGAGCCATCCAGGAAGCTTGGGGGTCCCCTGCCATTGCCACTGGCCAGTGAGAGGAGCGGGTCGGAGTCCTGGTCGGGGCCCACCTGATAACACCCCCTCCCCCACCAGACTAACCTCCAGAGGCTGATGAGCTCACCCGAGGAGTCCTGCCGCAACCTGGCCTTCAGCCTGGCCCTGCGTTCCATTCAGAACAACCCCAGGTAAGATCGGTGCCACATGCCCAGCCTGCGTCCTGCTGAGAGCCGTGCCTCCTGCCCAGGCCTCTGCCATGGCGGCCGAGGTCACCAGTTGGTTTGCCTTGCGTGGCGGTGGCCTGGCGTGGGCTCGGCGGCTCTGGGCCATCCAGGGCACAGGGAGGGGCTGTCCACTCAAGCGTGCGCCCCTTTCAGCATCGCGGCCGACTTCCTGCCCACGTTCATGTATTGCCTGGGCAGCCGGGACTTCGAGGTAGTGCAGACGGCCCTCAGGAACCTGCCTGAGTACACCCTCCTGTGCCAAGGTGAGTCTTCATGCCCAAGGGGGTCTGGAGGGGCGTCTGCCAAGAGCTGCCCAACCACAGCTCTTGGGAACCATGAGGTCTGGCCACAGCGGCTGGGACGGTCCTTTCTCTCCCGCAGAGCATGCGGCCGTGTTGCTGCACCGGGCCTTCCTGGTGGGCGTGTACGGCCAGGTGGACCCCAGTGCCCAGATCTCCGAGGCCCTGAGGATCCTGCACATGGAGGCCGTGATGTGAACCTGCAGCCCACCTCGCTCCGGCCTCGGCATCCTCAGCACGTTGGCGGGGCCCCTAAGGCCCCGGTGGTCTCACCTGGGAGCCCTGAAGCCGGGTGCGGGCTGGGAGCGGCCTTCGGAGGCCCTGGCCATGGCTCCGGGCCAGCTGCTGGTGTGGGTGCAGCCGCCTGCTGAGGCCTCGCCGCCTGGGTCGCAAGAGTGGTAGGGCGCAAGGCCCAGCGCCAGGAGGGGCTGGTTTTAAATGAAACATCCTGAGTTCTGTGTGCACTGACTGTCTGGTGTCCTGTGTCACTCTCTGGCCTTGGCACCCCGCTCCTGAGACGCCAGGGAAGGTGCAGGGCTCTGAGAGGTGGGGGGCAAGGCCCCTAGGCCCGCTCCCCCCGACCAGCTGCTCCCATGGGTGTTGGGGTCCCAGGGCACTGCCTGCTTGCCCCCCCGCTCGGGCAGCAGAGGGAAACCCAGGGGTCAGCCTCACGAGGGTGGTGGGAGCTGGCCCGGCCGACCAGTCTCCCCCTCGCCCTCACGGGATGACAGACCCTGAGCCCTTCGGCTGTGGGCCTCTTGGCTCGGGAGCCGAGTAGGGGGAGCCATTCTGGAGCAGGCCGGGGAGTCCTGGTGCTGCTGCCTGGGCTTGCCTTTCCGAGCGGGTCCCGGACAGCTCCTATGCAGAGAGTAGGACGCAAGCCCGTCCCCGGGGAAGCCGCCAGGCTGGTTAAGGGCCCCCTGGCAGGGCCCCCTGGAGCCTGTCACGAGGGCCAGCGAGTGGGTCCTGGGCCTGGGAGGTGGGATGGCCTAGGCATTGCTCCCCAGCCCACCTCCCCTTCGAGGTGGGTTGAAGCCGCCTGCAGCCTCACGGCAGCCAGGGTGTCTTCCCAGCACACAGGTGTGACCCATCTGCCCATACCGCAGCCCCGCACCCCCACCCGTGGCACTCGAGGTCAGCTGGCCCCCGGACCCACAGGCAGTGTCCAGCTGGGCTGCTGGCTCCTGCTTGGTCAGGCCACAAGGGGGCACTCTGGATGGAAAAGCCAACGCGGGTGGGCCGAGGCCATAAGGTTCTTGGACACCGTGGCCTCCAGAAATGCCCTGGACAGGAGCAGTGAGTGGGCAGCGAGGGCTTCAGGCCCACAGCCTGGCCCTGTCCAGCCAGCAGAGCCGAACCACCTGCCTGTGTCCACCCACCACCCCCTCCCCACCAAGGCATCGTACCAACCGCAGCTGCATCCCCCTGCCTAGCCTCACTGATCTCCTGAGGCCCCGTGGGTCCAAGGACCAAACCTAAGTTGGGGTGAGCCAGTGTTGGGCTTGCTGTCAGGCAGGCCCATTGAGGCCCGCTCCCCAGGTGGGCTCCATGCCCAGCCATGCCAGTCGCCCTTTCCCGTTTTCAGAGGCTCCTGGTGCAGCTCCAGCATGAGAGTGGCCCCTGCCCCTCTTCCCTGAGCTGCCCCTTTCCCATTGGCTGGGGAGGGCCCTCCCTGGATCTTTTCTACTCCCCACTTCCTGGCTCACCCCCATGCCCCGCCTCCTCCACCCAGCTGAGAGCCTACCTCCAGGCTTCTTGTCCTCAGCTGGTCCGGTCTGATTCTGTGGCTTGCTGTGGCTGGCACGGCCCATGGGGCCAGAACAGCCAGCCACTCCTAGGGCTAGGGTGCTAGTCGCTGCCCCATCTTACTGAGGGGACCTGGAGAAGGACAGAGCTGCCCAGGGCTGCCCAGGGCAGCAGCCTTCCTGCCACCCCGCCTGGGCCACCTGTGCTCTGCCTCTCCCCTGCCTCGGGTGCTGAGCCTGGCTGCAGGACGATGCCTCCAGAAGCCCCTGCGCATCGTGTCCTGTGTAGACACCTGCCTCCGGCCTGGGCAGCCACTGGCACACCAGGACCCCAAGGACTGCCCCCGCGCCCCAGAACAGGTGGGTAGTCTGTTCCCATCTTTTGGTGGGGATGGCGCGCTCCCGAAGTGCAGGAGGGGCGGTAGCGGGCTGTGCCCCACACCACTGCCTCCAGCATCTCAGCCTCAACACGCGTGCAGAGCAGTCCCAGGGGCAGAGGCGGGGACTCCAGGGCCCTTTCCCTGGTTCCGCTGTGTTGGGGCCACGGTTCCGGGCAGCTGGGAGCTGGACCCAGCCTGGGCTTCCGGGCCCTCAAGCACTGGGCTTTGCCCTGCCCACCCCAGGCTTGTAGCTCACTGCACATAGGGCGAGGGCCAGGAAAGGACAGCAGGGGCCTGCAGCTGTCAGCAAAGGCACAGCCTCGCCTGTGAGAGAGGAGAGGAGGACGGCAGCCCCGGACACTGGTTCCTCTTCATGTTGGCAGAGATCGATGTGTGGCTGACCATCCAGCAGGGTGGCGAGGCAAGCGGCACAGCACGCAGAGCCATCCGGGGCATGGCCAGCATCTCCACGCCCCATGTCCCACCTGCAGGGCTTCACATGCTGGTGTCCCAGTTGCAGGCCAGCGTCTGCGACCTACTGCAGGGCAGAAGGGGACACCCAAGCCTCGCTCTCAAGGAGGGCCGGGAGGGGCCCGCATGCCCAGCTGTCCTGGTGGACGGCTGGCAGCCGAGGACCAGTGGGGTGCCCTCCTCGTTAGGACCTCACGTGGGCTTGGGGCAGGCACGCGGCTTGATGTGTGTGCACCTGTGCCTCTTCCAGACACGGGTTGGGCCTCCACACTGCACACAAGGAAACCGAGGCACCGGGAGGGGGAACGGCACTGAGAGGTGTGCGCTGGGACCTGGGGTCACAGGCTGCCCCGGCCGCCAGGCTGCCTGCCTCTGGTGTGGGGATCGGGGGCCCGGGGGCAGAGGACCTGGGCTGGGCTCAGGCCGTGTGGTCTGTGCAGGGGGTGGGGGGAGAGGGGACTTGTCCAGGCCCCCGCTGGGGCCTGAGGCTCGCCAGGTGTGCCTCCTCCAGGGGCCCGAGGCCTCCGTTCCACACGTTGCCCATGTTGGCCGGGAACCGGGTGGGTCAGGCCGTGTGGTGGCGTCATCCCAGCCTCGACTGCCTGGGGCTGAGCAGGCGAGGCAGGGTGTGGGGTCCGAGCTCCGTGAGCCCGGAGCCCCCGTGCCTCGCGGAGGGGGTGGTATGCTCCAGGCCGCTTCACATCTCCCCGCCTCTACCCGGCTCCCCACTGGGCAGCTGCTGAGCTGGGAGATTGGCAGGGACCTGGCCAGGAGGGAGGGAGGACGGGGGCCGGGCAGGAAGCTGAGGGGCCCAGATGCTGCGGCCTGGGACCCCGGGCAGCCGAACTCCCCGCTCTGGGCCTCGGCTTCCCTCTCACGATGAGGGGCTGTGCTCACGCCAGGCGAGGCGGCTGAGGTCACACGAGGCCAGACTGGGCGGTGGTGAGGGCTCAGGGAGGGTCGCGCCTCAGATGTGCGCTGCGTGAAGGGGATGCACTGGGCGTGTCCAGACTCCTCCCACGCGAGGCTGCCGATGCCAGGGCCCAGGACTCGCAGCTGCCAGTTGCAATACCCAGGGGGCAGACACAGCACCTACCCCAAGCCAGTGGTGTCCGCGGCTGCTGGAGGGTGGCCCCTGCGTTGTCCCTGCCACAGATGGGAAACAGGGAACACTGGGAGGGCCTTGGCCACGCTGGGATGGGGCCAGGTCCCGCGGCCCAGGAGAGCAAAGGTGTGCGGGGCGGAGGATGGAGCCGGCCTCCGTCCACTCCCCGGCCCCCCCTCTCAGATGCCCAGTCCCCTTGCCATGGCCACTCGCCCACAGGGCCTGGGGACCCGTGGACCAGCAGTGGGGACGCCCAGCAGGACCCTCCTCCAGGGGGTGGCCGTGGATGGGCCACGCCCATCCATGCCAAACAGCAGAGACTCTGGGACCAGGGCGTCCCAACAGTGGGTGTGGCTGTGGGCTGCCCACTGTAGGGTGCCCGGCCCCAGGCCCCACAGTCCCCTTCCTTCTGGGAGAGAAGGCCCAGGGCCGGGTGCTGGGCCAGGCCGAGGCGAGACCCAGGGCGGCCTTCCAAGCCCTCCCTGGGGCTCTGGCCAGTCCCGGGGCTCCTTTGGCCCGGTGAGAGGTAGGGCTGGGTGACACGTTGCCATGGTGACAGCTCAACTGCCTCCCACGGCCCCCAGGCCGAAACCTGGTTTCACTTTCAGTTCTGGGCAGGCATGGACCCTGACCTCCAGACAGGCCAAGCAAGGAGCCAAGGAGTTGCAGGCCGTAGGGACAGGCAACACCCTGGTCTCACCCCACAGTGCCTTTCCCTGGTGGTCACCCTGGGAGGCCAAGCAGCCCTTCGGAGGGGAGGGCGAGGAGGCCCGGACAGCAACCCCAGGGCCCGTGTGGGTGGGGTGCGGCCAAGAACTGCTCGAGGGACCTGGGGCCCATACACTCCCCCCACCTCCCTTCCCCAGAGCCACTTAGAGCCTGACCCAGTTAGGTCCAGGCCCGGCGGGGTTGGGAGGTCACTTCAGGTGTCTGGGAAAGGGAGGGCGTGGCTGAGGCCTCCCCGGGACAGCCACCCCTTCCCTCCCGGGAGATGGCCCATGAGGAAGCTCTGGGGAGGACAGGCGGCGAAATAGGCAGTCCAGTTACCTGCCCTGAACCTCTGGTCTAGACTCAAAGGAAACCCCCCACCCCCACCCCCACCCCACCCCAGCGCAGGGCCCTGCGGGCTCACAGGTTCCGAAACGGAGCTCGGATGCTGCAAGACCTGTTCCTGGGCACTGCAGCCACCAGCTCTACCTGAGGGAGTCAGGAAGGTGGCTTGTCTGGTGGGTTTTGAAGGATGAATGGGAGTTTCCCAGGCGGGGTCCTCCCGCCACAGACTTGCCGTTGCTGGCACGGCGCTCTCCCTGGCGGTCTGCTCGGTGGGGGGGTCGTGAGCCCACAACTGCTTTTCCTGCCCGCCGCCCTCCTGGGACGAGGTCGGGTGGGGAAGGGGCTGCAGGGTTGGGTGAAGGGTGAGGGCTGGGCCTGGCATGCAGAGGGCTCCTCAGGCGTCCGTCCAGCAGGAGGGAGACCGGGCCTGAGAGGGGAGGGTTTCGGGGAGCAGCCGCGCTCCCCCAAAGCAGAGATGAGGGGGGCCCGGGGGAGGACAGGACTTGTGGCCGCAAAGCCTAGGGCCCCCCTGGCCACCGTCTGCGCCGCTGCTGGTGCCCCGCCCTGGGACAGAGTCCCGGGGCCTCTGGAGCTGGGGTGCTGTGGAGGGTCTGCTGGGTCCCAGAGACCCCTCAGGCTCCTTCGTCCCTGGTCAGCATTCCAGCCAGAGCCCGGGAGAGTCTTCGGGGCGGCGAGGCCTGTGGTCAGGCCAGAG